CATATAACAGAGATAATCCATAATGGATAGGCATCATAGGCTGGTGTTAGGATCCGGAAATGGAAAAAGAATCCAAGAATTACAAGCCTGAGGATAATGACTATCCGATATGGACTGATTAAACTTGATGGAAGTGGAACTTTTCGCCAGAGTGGTTGCCGAGCTTCAGCCAAACTGCTTGGAAATCAGTTAAGTCGTTATAATATTGAAATATACTGCAAGTTTTATATGCTTAAACTTGATCTGTTTCAATTCATACACACTCATTTCATGTTGAAACATTGTAGTATCTGATTCATTTTGTTAATAATATTATATGTAAAAGTGTTCAAATTATTTAACTATACCAGTCAGTCACTGAGTGATACATAACTACAAGTGACACAGACGATATATAACCGAAAATCCAATATTTAAAAGTTGTAAGGAGAATGAGGAGAAGGTGGAAACAAGACCAGATATAATTTGATCGCTATGAACAAAACCAAATACCAGATTGACTGATTTGTTATAAATTTAAAGTATTTCTATAGCATGTTTTCCTTTTCCTTCTATGTTGTTTTCTCAATGATTCCTCACATAAAATCTTCTCATATTAACGACGATATAACTTCAACACTATCAAAGAGAGGCGGCAATTAGCTTGAATAATCAAACAAACTTATCAATATTTTCTTCCACTACTAAGAATATATGTTAAATTCCCCTTCTAAGTCAAAGGTCTATCTAAAAAGCAAATCTAGTAGGGGTAAGGTGTGGTATATCTTACCCTCCCAAACTTCACTTGTGGGATTACACTGGGTGTATATATCATGTTGAATTCCCCTTCTAAACCGAGCTGTTAATTTCCACTTCTAAACCGAGGGTCTATCAGAAACAGTAAAACTACCCTGGCCCGCAAAGGTAGTGTTAAGGTGTGGTATATCTTACCCTCCCAAACATCACTCGTGGGATTACACCGAGGGTAAACAAGATGTAAAGTGAAAAGAAAGAGTACATACAGAAAGTCATCATCTTCATCAGGTTGATCATTTCCACCATTATTAACAAGACCTCTCTTTTCTTGACGATTCTTCCATTTCTCAACCCTTTCCTTCCATTCTGCATCACCATAACTTTCTTTCTGCTCATCCTCCAATTCCTTCCCAGCAACTGTAAGTGATTTTCCATTGAAATAAAACAAAATCATGACACATATATATAAAGTGCAACAATTACTCATTTCGAAATTAAGTAATAGAGATCGATATAGCTTTACCGCTTCCAACAATTGATTGATTAAAAGCAGCAGCACCATTGGTGTTGTGATTATGCTCTCCATTCTCCTGCCAAACATACAACAACTTGCTTTCAGTTCAAATGAGAGAGCGCCTTTGGGCGATAAATAACACAACTCTCACTAAACCTAGTTTAGGGTCTAATTATGTTTCTTCTCATATGTTTTTGAAATTACCATTCGTGTCAGATTTCGGGTATGTGTCCTACGGAGATGCATGTATCTCGTATACATAGGTGAAAATAAGGTGTAATTTGTTTCAGATACACAATATAAAAATGGATTTGCATGTAACTAAGATATACTGACTCTCTTCGCTCGTCTCTCTACCTATGTGTGATTCACATGTATCTAGTGTGATTTATACCTGGGATACACGGGCACTCTGCTCGTCTCTCTCCATATGTATTTGTATTTTTAAAATGTATTTTATAGCAAAAATACATGTATTTAAGTGTATCTGACTTAAAATGTATTATGAAATTATTAATTAATGAGATACATATGTAATTTATTTCAAATTATAAAGAAAACTAGTAAATATGATGGGAATGTTTGTATAATTAAGTAGTTTTTTCTAAATAATTACTACTATTATTCCAAATTTACATAATCGCTGCGAAAAATCTCCAATTTTGAAGTACGCTTCAGTCATCTAGTTTACCAACATGAACAATGAAGTATACACTATCAATACAATTCGGTTCAATATACAGTGTATAGGTATTTATATATGTGTATAATATGTATATTATATGTATAGATACATTAGTATACGTCTATTTAGTTTAAAATATACATTATTTACATACTATATAGTATGTACATAAGTATTTTGTAAACTAATATCCTAATGATATTTTGTTGTAATATAATTTTATAGATTGATTTTGCCAATTCCTATGTAGATTATGCGACATAATAATATTTTTAAAAAATATATTTTTCTTCCGAGAATTAGATAGACATGATAATTCAAGGCAAGTTAATTATCTCTAGTTCTATTAGATAACACCATGTTGTAGCTAATTATAGTAATAAATTAGCAATATAGTAAAAATATTTTTTAGCAACAATAAATTTATACATTAATAAAGAGGGCTTAAGTCTTTACCGGCATTAGTTAATGAATTAATTACAGAAATCTCACCTTTTAGTTTACTTATTACCATTATCCCCTATATGTTTTACAAATCTCCAAAATTCCTCATTTTCACGCATCAGATTAGTGTATTTCGCGCATTAGATTAATGTATCAGCGCATCAGATTAGTGTATCATGTATAAAATGTACATCATATTAGTGTATCATGTATAAAATGTAATGTATCTTACTTAACGATTAATGTATCTCGCGCATCATATTAATGTATCAACGCTTATATTATTGTATCCGTTTGATTGATTTCTATAATAATAAACTTTTAAGGGATAAATTGTAATTTTGCCTTAAAAGTATGTGATTTCTGTAATTTGCCCTTAGTTAATTGTCACTGGATCCAATAGTATTAATTACCTCTAAAATACATATTTAACAGCAATTAAGTTATTATCATTAATTAATTATTGCAAAAATTCATTTTTTATTGTTGAACATAGAAATGAAGTACTAACCGATTGGTGGTGGTTGGGAGAAGTATGATGATTCTTGATCTGAAATTCTTGTTCAAAATCATCATGAATATCATCTTCATCATCACCTACAACTCTAGGACACCCTGTCAATATTCCACAATTAATAATATTTGTAAGTTCAAGAAATTCAACAATGTATATATATATATCACGGAACGGAAGAAATAATTTTCTAGCCCTTTACAAAAAAAACTAAAAATATTTACGGCTTTTTTACAAGAGTTTTTCCTTTTTACATATAAAATCTTCTAATTATTTGAAAAGGTCATAATTTTCTTCTATTCAAATTGTAAGAGGACAAGAAATCTCATTTCCTCTTTTTTCTGTCATCTTACTACCATATTTTAACCACAATGCATGCACGCACGCACACACGTATCTAGAAATCCATAAGATAGCATGTATTCCAAGGATAAATAGATGTACATACACACGAGTCACAATACACATAAAGAACTAATAGTACAATTTAAAAACAAATTATTATTCTATTTTCGAATGGATTTAAGTGATTATATATATATATATGTGTATACTTTATAGCTATTAGTGTAGTAGTTTAACATGTTTAGCTAGGTCAATTACTATTTTTACCAAATCATCATTAGTTGAACTTACTTTTAAGTGATCTAATCGTATAAATATTTCTGTACTGCCCTAGTTACTACATGCTATCGTAAAAATAAAAAGTTCAAAAGAATAAAAGTGAGAGGGGGCATGGACCTTTATGACGTTTATATCGAGTATGACACTGAGGACAAGCCTGATTGCCTTCACTCCTTTCATACTCATAACATGGCATGCAAACTGGAAATCCACACTCCCCACAAGCAACAAATACCTCTCCATTTTCCTTAACTTCAATCTCATCTCTACAAATCTTGCATATCTTCTTCAACGAAACGACAAACTCTTTTGACGTTTCTGTTGGAGGTCGTTGCTATATATACACAAAAAAATAATCGTTAGCAAGCAAGAAAGCCTAAGCGAAGCAAAAATTATACAGTTTGTGTTTGACTGAACATGAAATTTAATAGAAAATGAAAGACTTCAGAACGTGCAGAGAGTGTCATGTAAAATGAGAGAGACGTACATCGTCTCCCGTATGAAAAACATGAAGTTCACTCCGAGAATGTGAACCAGCAACAGCCATGGTGTTAGATGGATATTGGCACTAAGGGAAAATGAGAGTATTAATATTAAGAAGAGAATATGTAGTTTTTGGTGGGAGTTTGAGATTTTTCACCTAATTGATAGTTGAAATGTCATTGGTTTGATTAGAAGACACGTTACTTGGACAGGTAGGAACACATTGCTTCTTCCACAACCTATTTAATTCTCTTGACACACTAAAAAAAATTAAAAAAAATCTTATATTGTTCTCTAATATTTTTTAATACTAAGATGATATTGTGTATGATCATTTATCTTGTGTGATTAGGTAGTATATAGATAGCTTTGACACAAAGGTATCCAAACTCAGAATCCTAACATACTTATAGGTTGGCCAATGATAACTCATTATAAATTATTCATTCTAATTAAAATTATATTCTTTGACTGTGAAAAAAGTAAGTTTGTACATTATCTGGTATAGTATTTTTATTGAGAAACTCACTATCATATATATTATTATTATTACTTATACTTTTAAAACATTACGTATCTTACCACTAACTAAGAGTTTTTTATCCTATATATTGAGGAAGATACATGTATATTTGCTACCAGATATACTAAAATAGGTAGAGAGGCAAGCGAGATTTGTTATGTATACATGTGAATCACACTAGATCCATGTATTTAGAACAAATCACACCTAATTTTGACGTATCCTGAAATACATATATCTTGACGCACCAAAATGTGGTAAGATAGTTTTTTCTGGATTTTTTTCTCCAAATCCCACTTGTGAGATTACCCGTTGAATATGGGGTATATTGTTGTTGTACTGATCTTTTTTCCCTTTCTTCTATGTTTTTTTTTCCTTTTTCCACTTACATGATGAAGGGAGATAACAGGGAAGGCTAATCACTTCTCTGGAATTCCTAAGCCTACTTGAACATGATTATAAAAAGAAAAAAACAGCATCCTTAGCCAAAGATTATATTTACATAATGTGACTGATGAGAATTCAAGCAATAAGAAGTATTTTCCTTCCTGATACATAAGACTATAACAGAACAATTCATGTTCAGACAAGCTACATTTCCAGATGATGGAATTTGATACGACGAGGACAACAAATAGTTCCTCGTTTTCCTTCCAAGATGACTCTGAAATGCCACAAATCTAACATCAAAGGTTTGATATTTCTTTATGATCTATGTCAAATGAGAGGACACGCCATGGCCCCTCGAGATAATGTCTATGAAAAGAATATCATGATATTTTTAGCTCCTTCACGAGCCAACTCCGTTCTACTCAAGGATTTGATGTTCCAAGCGTCAATATATTACTATTCTACAGTCTACCAATGGTGTTTTGAACCTACAAATGCTTATTCATCCAATTTAGAGCGCTTCAAAGGTGGTGAATCAGATGTGCTGGTTATATTTGTCTCAGGATCTCCAAGAACTTCTCTTTCCTGCTCTTTCTGTTTCTCGTGATCAACTTCTTTAGCAGTGTCAACCTGTGACAACTGTGCAAAGGCATCATCTGCTGTGGAAGATGATGAGCCTTTAGTTGGGTCTGCGCCAGGAATTGACTTGCACTGCTTCTCAAACATCATCTGGAGGTATCGCCCTTGTTCTTCTATACGAAGCTGCAGATTTCTTTGAATCTGGAAATGTACATGACAACATAAGTGCACATAACAACACAAGTGCTGCAAGTTAGATACCACGAGACAATCAAATAAGAGATTGGCCGAGCTGGCTATTCATTATATCAGTGGGCATAAAAAAGCTATTCTATTACCCGTGATAGAGAAGATTTTTAGCCCCAAAACTGAACTATGATTAACTCAAAATTGACTTATCAAAAAGATTGACTGCTTATAACTAACATGCACTTTTCATTATCTTCAAAATTATCTATTACGATTGGAAGACTCTAAAAGGCCCATAAGCAGCCCATAAGAAAAATAAAACATGACAAGCACATATTCTCATATAACAGACAGTTCTTTGTTGAAGACGTAAGCAATGATCACCAGTCAAAGTGTAAGTACTTTTTAGCTCAATAGAAAGAAGCCATACCTCAAGCTGTTCATGGAGACGCTTCTGAACTTCCATCTGCAATCGTAATGCTTCAGTGATCTCAATTCCCCTGTGTCAACCCAACACATCAGATTTGAATGAAGCAAGAGTGTAAGTATACACGACAATAAGAGATAACAGGAAACTCAAAATTACACATATAGAACCCCTGAAGCTACCACCCAGTCACTTATTCGGAGCACCAGTAGTGACCTGTGTTAGCTAATACATGCACAAAATTCTCCAGCTATCTGGTCTCAATTGCAGAACCTTCATGCACCCTCCCACCCCACCCTCCTCCTCTCTCTATCTCTCTCTCTCCCCTCCTCCCTCTGCCCCCTCTCCAAACTTTCTCCTATTGGGAACATTAGATCCTTCAGCTAAACATCATCCACTACTACTTACTATTATTTGTCATTCTTTTTGAGGGAAGCTTAAACATATGTCATACCAAGTACATTCAATGTTTCCTAATAACAAGTGTAAATAAGTTGAGGGTTTATGGCGTAGAAATCCAAGAAAATAATTTGAGCCCACCATATTTTGTTCAGGTTCTCTTTTATTATATGATCTTGGTCTCCAAGCATAAGCGTAAATAAATAGCACTCTTAACGAAGTCCATTATACAGTAACTTGTAATAATTAGATTATACTCCCAATTAATGTAGAAGTAGGAATTCCTCTCATTAGTTTATGTGCAAGAGAATTAGCTCAGTATTACCCTCCAGAAAAATGGTCGATTTTGGCTTTAACAGTCAATATTAACTATTTTATTTCTGTTGTAATTATTTGAATATCTTCAAATGAAGAGTTATCAAACTTGTAGAATTTTCAGTTTCCTAATCTCTAAATTTAGCGTTATAGATAGTGATTTTTATTTTTGAAACAGGTAACTTTAATTATAGATAGTGATTTATTCAAGTCCCTTTACTTAAAAAATTGCTAACTTCATCTACAAAAGGTGAAACAAAAAAAGACTAAATTGGGACTGAACATGTATATGATATCAATAGGTTACCTGCGAATCACATTCCTACATGAAAGCTAAACCAGAAAGTTAATTAAACAGAACCTAAGCATCATGTAATGCAAAACGAAAAGGGGACAGACCACATGCTAAGTTATGTAAATGCATTTCCGGGACACTGCTTTCTGGTATCCACATCATGAACAGCCTCATTGAGGACGAAGCAGGATAGGGGGAAAGAGGGGGGGGGGGGGGGGGGGGGACAATTTATGACA